GGCGCCTGCAAGACCGGGTGCGGCTGCCCGGGGTAGGTCATGGCGTTGATCTGGGTCATGCAGTTGGCCAGGTGGCCGAGCAGCCGGGTGCGCACCTCGGTGTTAACGCCCTCGCACGTGGACAGGAAGCGGGTCACCTCGTTCATGCACTCGCTGAAACCCGCGCGGTACTTCCCCAGCACGCTCGGGTCTGTGCTTAGCGCGGCTGTAGACCAGAAGGAGACAGACAGGTCACCGTAAGGCCCTGGCCCCGAGGCCACCGCCCCCGCCCTGGGAGGTCCCCGCGGCGCGCCTTCCTGACCACTGGGCCCGCAGAACTGCCTCCAGTTAGGGTGGGTGGGTTTAGTAAAACCATCCACTTCTCCACACTAGCTTGGCGACTTAAGCCAAGATGCTCCTTCTCTCCCTTCTTAATCGCTGGATTTAAACCGATCTCGGCCCTAGATCTTACCCACCCCCACCACCCCCACACACTCAGCGCGTGCGATGTGACCTTGGGTAATGCCCTTCCCCGGCCATCCGAACCTCATTTCCCCTTCTATAATGGGGGAGGAGGGACTGCTAAAGCAGAAGACCTCCAGGCTCTACGCAGCTCAAAACGCCAGTTCTAAGCCCTTTGGCCCCCACCCGCTTTCCCCACTGCCAAGCCGCCCGCCGCCCTCGCCGTTGCAACCACTCTCCCTCCCTTTCCGGAACAGTAACAACTTGGAGTTGTGGCTATAAATAAGCCCCAGACCGTGGGAACGTAAGAGTGAGCCAAGGCAGTAAAATGTAGCTGAATGCCTCTCACAACCACGGGCGGAAGTCTGGAAGAAATCACCGCCCGGTGAGAGGGACGCCCGCAGAGGGGGATGCGGCAAGCCGCCCTCACCCGTCATCTGTGCCCGCTGCAGGTTCCGGAGGTGCTTCACTGTCATTTCCAGAATGTCTGCTTTCTCCAGTTTGGAATGCCGCGAACTCTGCACAGAAGAGGAGGCAAGGAAGGCAAGTGAGACCCCCGCCGGCAGCCTCGGAGTGCTGGGGGTCCCTCCCACGGCGCCGACCTCCCCAGACCCCCACTGAAGGGGACCGGCCCTCCCGCCTCAAAGAACGCAATGCTGGCGGGGAAGATCCGCCGGTGAGAGGATTTCATTCTTACGTAGTACCCGAGAAATAGTATTTCATTTATTAAAGCTAAAAAGGCAGCATTATCCACTTACATCTTTCTTAAGAGCATCCAAAATCAGTGTTTTCAGCTGGCTCAGACTTTCATTTATTCTTGCTCTTCGTCTTTTCTCCATAATAGGCTTTGATGACTGTAAAGAAATAAAAAGTCCTTAGTTCCCATGGGATCTGCCATTTCACCAAGGGAGTTTTAAGGGATAAAAGACCCCCCGCCCACCCCAGCTTAATTTCTTGGGGCTGCAGAGAGATACAGGTACTCCCCTTACCTTTCTGTGTTCAGATGCTGTCTTTGGTTTATCCGGTGTCGTGTTGACACTGGCTGGAGTAGCAGCCACCGGGGACGAGGAATTTTTCTCCATTATATCAGCTGGCATTTTCTGTTGTTTTTTTTTTTAATCCCTAGAGAATTTTATTTTTGGAGTCCTTCACACACACACGAAAAAAATTGTTTTTTGTCCCTTTTATTCGAGACTTTCACAAAACTACTGAGCAAGTGCTGAGCGTTTATTATAATATCTTATGGCTACTTGGTGATCGGTAGCGCTATTCCAGGACCAAGGAGAGAGGTAGATAGGGGATTCCGCTGTTATCAGCACCGGCTCCGGATCCTGTGTGATCCCCAGGCCCTGGCGGCCTCTATATATATCTGGGACTGCACGCGAACGGCTCGTGTGAAACTTCCCAAACTTTCTTTCCCACAGTAACTTTCAGCCAATGGGAGGAGGAGACACGCGGCACCGCTCGTGGACCGCGCCCCCCCATTGGCCGCCAGGCACAAGGCCTGGCGGCCAATGGCGCGCGCCTGAGCCCGGGGCACCGGAGGCTACAACGTCAATCAAAAGGATTTTAACCCTTTGATACTATCCCTGCTGGGCTTTGCTTTAGGCAGGATTTTTTCCGCATTGGTTTTGCTCTAGTCTAGTTTATTTCTTTGGGGGCTACGGTCTTTGCTCTTCATTTCCTTTCAAATGGGTAATAGAGCTGCTTTGACACTAAGTTAATTTGAAAAATATTTTTAAAAGGTTTAGAAGGACAGGGTAAAAGATTATACTTGCAGTGGTTAAAAGGGGGAACGTGTGCAAGGGTGTGAGTTACCGACACATCCAAGTAATTTCCCGCTCAGACTATACATTGGGGGGCGGGGGTGAAAGTCGATCATGCAGAAAAAGAACAAAAAATACGTCCTTTTGTCATGCAGAAAAGGGAAAAAAATGCCTCCCACCTTACATTTGCAGGTCGTTCAGAGCAAGGTGGTTTTTGATCTTCACCCCTCATTCCTCTTCAGGAGTTGGGGCTTGGATCCCGCTCTTCCTCTGGAAATAATCAGAATAATTTCCAACTGGGCAGAAAGGAAATAGAATTTCAAATGAAAGATGAACAAGGAGGACTTTGATGGCAATGCCTTAGGGACTCGCCATCTCCACCCTTTCCCTTTCAACCCGCAGGCTCTCGGTTCGGTGGCACTTAGAGGTGGCGGGCTGTGCAGGAGCCTCTCCCCTCCTCCTCGCCAGGCGGGCGGCGGCGGCGGCGCA